GCAGCACCCGTGCAGCGTCTGCTGCATCCACAGCAGTGGCGCCGTGGAGCACTCGGCAGCACTGGTGATTCCATTGTTTGATGCATGAGGTTCTTTGGGATCGGATGAGAATGAAAAGATAGCACGACTGGAATCCCTGTGCACTTATGCACAAGTTCATTAAGTTGTGATGCTCAGTACAGAGTATCCTAAGAAATAGCACTGAGGTTATTTCCAGGCATTAAGTGACTTCATGAAATAACCATGGGCGCAGTGAGAGAGGATTGCAGATCAACGGGACTAACCTGTGTATTGATATTGCCTAAATTGCCCAACCCCATTCATCTGGGAGTGGGACTTGAAGGGAATGTTCCACATTTGTATAGCGTTTTGAAATGAAACAGCCATAATGAGCACCTTTTGATGCAGTTCGCGGTCATGTCCTTTTTAAGACCCAAAACGATCTGAGTTCCTGAGTTACACGCCCGCAAATGTGGCGAAAATGTTTATTTGGAGCCTATTTCAAAGTTCACTCGGCATTGATGACGTCATAAAAATGCCATGCGATCGTGGTTACTTACATACTTCAGGCTGTTTGCCATACTTCAGGCTGTTTTCTGTCTCATAGTCAAAACAGCATGGCCGCTGGCTCATTCGCGAAAACGATGATGCAGCACGTGCAATGCAACGCGCGGATGATGGTTGGCTGTTAAAGATTCGCCGCTGAATGCGTGTCGCGAACGTAAGCGTGAGCACTTTCGGGTTGTGCGCCACTCGTCGTGAACGGGTAATTTTTCCTTATTCCTAGGCCACAGGTCAATGTTATACAAAAGAACGCCACTGTCTGCAAAAAATACGGCAACCCAAAAACGGGCACTCTGGAAAGTTATAAAAGAGAAGACGCGACAGCAAAGCTGTCGTCATAACACATGACATGACAGTCATAACACCGCATTTCACCTTGACCTCCCTTTAAAAACAAAGTTTCAACGGGGTTCATGGCAATGCGGCTCAAGAGGTTTCTTCAAAAAGAAAAACAACGCCAGGGCCGAAAATCTGTGCGGAAATCGCGAGAAACCTGCGATTTGATAGTTCCGCGAGTCGTGCAAGTGTGAGATCACATTTATTCGACAAAAGAGTGTGAATCGGGGGCTTGAAACGTGTGTGATCACTAGTGGTGTATGCCAGTGGCTTGTTTGATCTTGATGTGATGGGAGTGTGCGTGCGAGGTTTGTACATTTGAGAGAATATGGTTTTGATATTCTTTAAGTTAACTGACTCCCAATAAAATGTGATGTATTGATACCTGCCTCTACCTTTATGTTTGTGTTTGAACATGACAAAGAAACTCTACAAACCAAAAGACGCACTAGCACTCAAATTGCAGGCGTGCGCAAAGGCAAGCTGGTACTTCATTATGATCTTGCCAGCATTTTGAATTTAATGAGGTGTTACAGCATGTAATTAATCCATCGTGTGTTATTATATCAGCAATTCATTTTGGCAGCAGGGGCTGGTGCGTACAGCTCATCAATGCACATGGTCAGTAAATGCTCTCATTATATGGCTTTGCAAAATTGTCTTTCCCTAAAGAGTTCTGAAAATATAGAGTTGTATTATTTCTGATGCACATTGCTCTGTCTTCATAAATTTCGCATGCAGGCGGGCATTGCTCATGAGTCATCATCATTGTCAATGCAACTCGCGTGAGATATTGGGTGCTGAGAAAGGTGGAAAAGTATTACAGTTGGTATCTTCAATAGCGCTTTATAATTATCCTCATGAGCCTTGCTTGCACCGGCAGCTTCATGACTTCCTTGCATTTTGCCCATCGCACTATAACTAAATGCACTTGTCATGTTTCCAGCCTTGTGCAAAGCCAGCATGTTTGCAGTGTCACTTAACCACATGTAAAATTTTCCTGTTATTTTTTTAGTAAAGCAGCCTGATGGCCGCAGCATGTTGCGTGACTGTGGAAGTGGAAGATGTGTTTGCATCTTTCTCACCTACGTTTTGTGGATTCCCAAAACAGGCTGAACAAGTGATGCCACTGATGAGTTGTCTGCTTTGCTGAAAGTGATCCATACATTGTACCATGTGTTTTTGGTCACTCATGAGTCAGATGGGGTGTCAATACAAGAGAGCACACTTGACCCAATCTTTCATGGTGGAATTTATTATGAAAGCAGACATAAATTGCACTACAAAAACCCTGTAAGTGTTCGTTATGTCATGGCACAGTACAGCACTGAGGTAGTGTTACAACTGTTGACCCGTGCCAGCACACAATGTACCACATTGATTGAGTACTCTGCAAGCCTATGAGACAAAAAGCTTATAATTTATGAATGACTGGTAACAACTGGTTCAACAATGCAAAGGAACTATCAACAGCAATAATGGCATTGCATGACAATGATTATACCAGGGTTGACTACTAATTGCTTAAACAATTCTGGGCCTAAAACAATTTTGGTAGACAACCTTGCCATCTTTACCAGAGGAATAGCAATGTTTTGGCAATCATCCATAGCAACGTTACAAATTCATTATTTTCACAGTGCACCACATTTTCAAGTACAAACAAATTAAAGAAAGTGACTACTGAACACACATCACATGATATAAATGTCAGGACTACAGCACTGCAGCAACGATGGGTCAACAATAAAATATTGACAAATCATAAAGAGCGCGGCAGCAACAGCAGCAGCACAGCATATCGTGCTTTGATGCTAGCAATCTACCAAAAAGCTGGCGATCGCTACGTTGCGAATGTCAGACAGTCCACCAAAGCTTTTCTAACGGCCAGCACCAAGACAAAAAATCCACAAACAAACCATCCACTAACCCGCCGCTCGACACAGCCCCCACGGCGAGACTGGCCAGCTGGCGTCAGCTTTCATGTGTTTCGAGGTGTTCTTTAGGTCTGGCTGCCAGATGATGCCAGGTATTGTTGTCGTCACATAACCATTCCATGACGGCATCAAACAATGACGTAATGGGGCGCATTTTTACAAACTATAATTTTGCTACTCAGCGTCGTTTTTGAATCTTGAAAGCTTAGCAATAGTTACAAGTAGGCTTTTCCCTATCATATTTGATGCCTACATCAATATCTTCAACTGTGGAACATTCCATTTAACCGACAGTCAAAACTGAATAGTGAACAAATAAGACCAGAGGGTTATGTACATGCGCGCTCGCAAGTCTTAGAAACAAAAACCACGGCGTCCGGCGTTGTAGTCTACGAGAGCCACACTGCTGTGCCCCTTGCTAACACTAGGTGGTGGCCAACGGGCGGAAGAAAACGATGACGTTTCGGAAAGAAACGTCATCGTCGTGATGCGCCTTTAAGCGCTTTGATCTCAGACTCTTTCCTGTGGTCTGTGGCAGGGGTTGGACATAGGAATGCAAGTCTTAGAGAAAAAAACACATCTGTTTTGCCCTGTTCTCATGTACGCTGGCGTTCAATGCAACGTCCCTCACAGTTTTGACAAACCTTGAGAAATCCACCAACGCCCATGCTGTATTGTTTTAGATGGAGCACTTGAGCAATTGCGA